AATTTAATTGATTTTTATTCATTTTCATTTGCAGAACCCATCAAGATACAGTGCATCTGGAAGGTATTCATAACACTTCACTTTTTCCACATTTTCTTATGGTACAGCCTTATTTCAAAAAGGATTAAATTAATCTATTTCCTCAAAATTTTACAAACAATACCCCATAATGACAATGTGACAAAAGTTTTTTGAAATTGTTGGAAATTTATTAAAAATACTAAATCTGAAAAATCCCTTTGCAGTGAAGCTCTAAATTGAGCTCAGGTACATTCTATTTCTACTGATTATTCTTGAGATGTTTCATCAGCTTAGATTGGAGTTCACCTGTGGTAAATTCAGTTGATTGAACATGATTTGAAAAGACATACACCTGTCTATATATGGTCCCAGGGTTGACAGTGCATGTCAAAGAACAAATCAAACATAAAGACAAAGAAATTGTCTGTTAGGTTTGTGCCGATAGACGATGCCATCATCCATTGCTGATGGCCGACAAACTTCACGATGCTGAGCCGATATCACGATCCATCACCCCGCCCCACAATTATAATAATATATAACTTATTATTTACAAGTCATCTTGGATTATACAGTATCTCTCGTGCTTAAAATGTGTAGATTCAGTGGCAAACGCTGTTACCTGCGAACACCGTCCCACAGACTTTACAGTGAATGGCTTTAGTCATTTTCATAGCATGCAGACTTGAAGCCACTGAAAGTCTTTTATCCACGCTTCGAAAAGTGTAAATGGTGGATTAACATTCAGCACATGATCACTAATAAGATGTGCCATTATTAGCAACTTTAGGTAAATCTGTCAGTGTTATTTTCATTCTCTCATCTTCAGCGCTTCACATTTCGCGGTTGTAGCTCCTGTCATCTGAAAGCCGAAGGCATTGACTGGGTGATTGACAGCTGATATTAACCAATGATTCGCGTTCACTTCTAGAGCAGTGGGCCAATAAGAAGGGCACAAAGGCATTTTACTTCAGCACGTTCACATAACAACTGTTTTAATCTGTTCCTTAAAGCTGCGTTTGCCGTTTTTAGGTGCAAAGATGCATTCTGCATAAATGTCCCCTAAATCCGCACACGCGGTGAGGATTTTTCTGTGAAAACAATGAAAATGTATGTACTACAGTGAACTCCAAAGGAACTTTTGTCTCCTCCACCAGCTGTGGCAAAAGCTATTAAAACGACACAGATCACAATGCCCTATTCATGCCAGAGTCCCACAGAAAAAAAGTGATTGATAGGTGGTAATTTGTTTGTAACTTAATTTATTTATGGTATGGTTATGGGTAAAGCAAAGACCATGTGGGTCAGGTAGTGAAAAAAGGTAAGCTACAATTAATTAATTTGTATGAATTTGCTAGCCGGCAGATAGCTCTCTGCAACTCTCACATGGTCGCCCACTGAAGTTAAGCAGGGCTGCGCCTGGTCAGTATCTGGATGGGAGACCACATGGGAAAGCTAGGTTGCTGCTGGAAGTGGTGTTACTGAGGCCAGCAGGGGGCGCCCAACTTGCGGTCTGTGTGGGTCCTAATGCCCCAGTATAGTGACGGGGACTCTATACTGCTCAGTGAGTGCCGTCTTTTGGATGAGACGTTAAACCGAGGTCCTGATTCTCTGTGGTCATTAAAAATCCCAGGATGTCCTTAAAAAAAAAAAGAGTAGGGGTTTAATCCCGGCATCCTGCCCAAATCTGCCCAATGGCCTCTTTCCATCATGGCCTCCTAACCCTCCCCATATAATAATTGACTTCATCACTGTGTCTCCTCTCCACTTATCAGCTGGTGTGTGGTGTGCGGTCTGGTGTAAAATGGCTGCCGTCGCGTGATTCCAGATGGATACTGCGTACTGGTGGTGGATGAGCTGATTCCCCCCCATTGGGTAAATTGCTTTGAGTGTCCAGAAAAGCGCTATATATATGTAAGAAATTATAAATTATTATTATTATGTATTGATATTTAACAATATTTAGGGCAAGGCAGTGGCGCAGTAGGTAGTGCTGTCGCCTCACAGCAAGAAGGTTGCTGGGTCGCTGGTTCGAACCTCGGCTCAGTTGGCATTTCTGTGTGGAGTTTGCATGTTCTCCCTGCCTTCGTGTAGGTTTCCTTCGGGTGCTCCAGTTTCCCCCACAGTCCAAAGACATGCGGTACATGTGAATGGGGTAGGCTAAATTGTCCGTAGTGTATGAGTGTGTGTGTGAATGTGTGTGTGGATGTTTCCCAGAGATGGGTTGCTGCTGGAAGGGCATCCGCTGCGTAAAAACTTGCTGGATAAGTTGGTGGTTCATTCAGTTGTGGCGACCCCGCATTAATAAAGGGACTAAGCAGACAATAAAATGAATAAATGAATGATATTTAACAACAACCCCCCTAAATCCTATACACATATATATTTTTTCACATTGTCATCATGGGGTATTGTGTGTAGAATTTCGAGAAAATAAATAAATTGAATCCATTTTGGAATAAGGCTGTAACATAAAAAGATGTGGAAAAAGTGAAGCATTATGAATTCTTTCCGGATGCACTGTACCTTATGGTAAGGTATAAATCTAATTATCTAATCTTGAAAAACATACAAAGTACAACCCCAAATAAAACTCTAGCTAAGAAATCTAGTAAGGATCCTGATTTCTTTATTTAATTACGTTATTAAATTAAGGTATCCATTAAAACTTGAATGGGTTAAAAGCAGAGAACCAGTTTTGAATATGGGTATCCATACTTCACAATCCTCACAATCACTTCACTTCAAAAAGTCAGTTGCAACCCTCTAATCAGACATAAGACGTCAGATTTGGAATAGTCCCAAAGCTCTGTCAGAGTTGTTTACATGTCTCACAGCTGTTTTAATTGTTTCCTTATGTTAATGCGCTAGACAAACATCTGAGTGTTGTGCAACATCTCACGCTCGAGACCCTGGCGGGACTTCCTACACCTGTGAAAATGGCTCGATCAATAAAGCAACAGACTTGTATTACTCTAAAGTGGGACTACAGTTGCCATATTTAGCTTTTCATTTTCTCCTGTTGAAGTGGTCCATATCCTTCCCTTTTGATGTCTTAGATGCTAAAAACGACACTGACGCACCATCCGCCCGCAGCAAACTGTTAGTTCCTGTGGGATCTGGAAGCAGAATGCTGATGACATCCTAGAAAAGCTGTGGCCCTCAGGCATGCACGTTGTTGAATAAGTAAACAGCAAATATAAGCAGAAAAGCTCCACTTCTATCCAATGTGGATCTATCCAGTCATGTAAAATTAGTTGTATTTTTTTGGGCACATAATGGAATCGAGCTGTTTTGGGGTATAGTTATTTTTTAGGTTTCAGGTAAACTTTATAAGATAATCCAGATTTTACTGTTCCTTGCAATATTCAATTACCAGGATGCCCATACACTGAGCTTACTGTATATGAAAATCACATTAAGTTATTTTAAGTTATTTATTTCATATTTACACTACATGACAAAAGTCTTGTCGTCAATCCCAGTTGTAAGAGCAACAAATAATAACTTAACTTTTAGTTAATGATTAAAAAAAAACTGTCAGAAGGTAGATTTTTTCTGATAAATCATCTTTTAAACTGCATCCCACTGCAGAAGACCTTTTTGAACCCGCATGGAACCATGACGCTCACAAAAATCAGTCAAGTTTTGTGAAGGAAAACTCATGGTTTGGGGTTACATTCAGTATGGGGTGTAGATGTAGATGGCAACATCCTCAGCATGAGTTATCAAGACATTTGTGCTGCCCATTAAAATACAAACCACAGGAGAGGGCAAATTCTTCAGCAGGATAGCGCTCCTTCTCATACTTCAGCCCCCACATCAAAGTTCTTGAAAGCAAAGAAGGTCAAGGGGCTCCAGGATTGGCCAGCCCAGTCACCAGATATGAACATTATTGAGCATGTTTGGGGTAAGATGAAGAAGGGGGCAATGAAGATCAATACAAAAGAATCGTGATGAGCACTGGAAGTTCTGCAAGAACACTTTCTTTGGCTTTCCATTTGACTTTATTAATGTGTTGTTTGGGTCATGGCAGGGATGTATGGATGCAGTCGTCCAAGCTCATGGGAGTCATACACAATATTAATTCTTTTTCCACTGAATCATGACTTTATATTCTATACTGTACATTATTTCTGTTAAGTGACAAGACTTTTGTTTAAGCAAAGTCAGACTTTACCGTCCGAATTAAATAATTAAAAATCAAGGCAAAATCATATTTTATTTTGGTAGAATAAGTGTTACCTAGAGGCCTTTGCCTTTTATATAAGCCACTTCTGATACCAAATGTTCAATAAGAAGTCAAGTTTTTTTTTTGTTGTTCCTAAAACTTGCATAGGCGACAAGACTTTTGTCAGGTAGTGTATATTCAAAGCAGAGTAAAAATAGAAATTGCTGTGCATTTATTTGTGCATATACAGTATGTGCACTTATATTGTATTGGTAGGGTTATAAAAACCATGTGGTTTCACTATGTTATGGGCAATGGTGATCTGCAACATGGTTTGTTGAAAGTTTTGATATTCTATGTTGGTTTACATGACATCTTTCCATTCAGTTCATTTTTAAATGCGTCTCTTACAAAAAAATAACCATAGTTTTACTACAACCAAAACCAAAAATCTACGGTTATTGTTGTTAAAACATGGTAACATTAAACATATTGTTGCAACACAAATCAAAGTTTAACCATAATAACTGTAGCACTGCTGTGGTTATGCAAAAATAACTAACTCTACAAAGTTTTTAAATCTAAAAAAAAAAAAAGATAAAAATAATATCATTTGCTGAATGGGAATCAATATTTAAAAGCAGTACATTGCCTAAATTTCTGTCAACTTGAATTGATTATGTGCTGTTGACTTCAACCTGCACAGGTCAGTTTCACCTTACACTGTCTTTCAAAAAGAATTTAGCACAAAGCTGCACAGTACTTCCACAAAGAGCATATTCTGTAGCATCAGCATTGAATAACTCACCTTTACGGGCGATGCGGATGCAGTTTATCCTTGTTTCCTGCAAGAAAAGAGAACAGAGATGCAGTGTCATGCTGTGGGGAACAGTCAAAAGGCAGAAATAAGACTGCACGATACCTGAAGAGATGTCAAATGGGCTCACGCTGGCTTTTGCTGATTCAACAACAGCATGAATGCCGGTAAAACAGCAAAAACTACATTCAGAAACAGCACCGTGTCTCAGTCACTTTATACTTGTGTGCATGCCTTGTCTATGCGCGGAGATTAGATACAAGCCTTTAATGTACAGAAAACGGTAGCGGAGGACAAAAGAGGCAGGGGAGGAGGATGACTTCCAGCCAGGAGAGAATTATAAAAAGGAATTAATTTGTTGGAAATCGCAGTTGATGACATACTGGTGTTATGAAAACGACCTTTGTCAAATAGCGCTAATGAGATCCAAGCCCATAATCCAATTCCGGCCCGCCACCTCGACAAGAAGATGCATTATCAAATTAAGATTTACAGATGCTAATTCGGGCATTATGGAACAATTATGCAAATCTTCCCATCCGGAAAAGGAGTGAGAGGCCTCTGCTCAAACTGCGGCTGAATTGCTTTTTTTAATTGAAAATCCATTTCAAACTGCCTTGGCTCCTAAAGCCTGTCATAACCCTATATCATTTATGGAAAACATACAAAGGTGAGAGAGAGAGAGAAGGGCAGAGTTTACAGATTCACCAATCGACTAATCAGAAAAAGCAATCGGATGATTTTGTTATTCTTTTCTTGAAATGTGCAATTGGTAACCAGCCATTTTTGGTTTTATTTAATAGATGTCTGTTCCGCACTTGCATACAAACTGCACTGTAATGAAAACAGCATGAAAACAAGCCAAACTCTAAGGGCCCTATTATACACCCGGCACAATAAGGTGCAGGACGTGTTTGATGAGATTTGTTGCTATTTTCAGACCAGCGCAACGGTTACTTTCACGTTTTGCGCCATGTTGTTTAAATAGCAAGTCCATTCGCACCACTTTGTGGACTCATAGGTGTTTTGGTCTAAAAAGGAAGTGTGTTATAGGGCATTGTTGGCATGTTGCTATTTTGAGGAACTAAAAAAACTGCGTCATTGACCAACTAAAAGCTGGTCTAAAGTCCAGCGCAGAGTGTGTCAGTTATGTTACAAAATTAATTTCTATATAAATATAAAAACCACTACCTCCACGCCTTCTTCATTTTGGGGGGGCTTTTTTCAGTTTAATCATAAAAAATTGCATTTGTTTATTAATAATAGTAGTAGTATTATTTATTCAATGTATGTTTACATTTGTTTTAATAAAATCAAGTTTAGATTTGTCAACCTGTCGGGTTTTAGAGACATATGCATCACATGGGGTATAGGAGCAGAACGTGTGTCTCAGTTTTTTGAAGACACTTCATTGTTCATTTATTTGTTTGCTGGAAATTAGAAGGGATTTTAGAAAGTTTTGAATATATTTTGATATTTGTGCCTAACAAACAAAAGTAAATATGTAGGCTAATGGATGTCTTCAGTAGAGTACGTATAACACCGTTTCCTTATCCACAAAAGGTGTAAAGTAAAAAGTAAAAGTAAAAAGAAAGTAAAGAGGCTGAATGGAGGAGGCTCATTCTTTGTCCTCCCACCGCAGATGTTCTGTTTAACTGTTTTCTCACCAGTAAAGCATTCAGTTTTTTTTTAACTTACAAAGTCCGGCAAGTAAATTGCAAATGTGCCATGGCGCAATACAACTGACTCTTTAAGGAAATGGAAGATGAGACTCTGATTAGTTTAATGCACTTTATGCTCAAAACACTCCCATAACTGATTAAGAGAATAAGCACAGCCCCGTTAGACCATGCACTAGGACGCAGAGCATATTTTTCAGTCGTTAAAATAGCAAAAGTGGATTCGGACATGCCCTTAATACTTTTGTGCCATGCATTAAAATAGAGCCCTAAATCTTTACAATGTTTATTTATTTATTTTTTTATTTTATTGTTGAAAATCTCAGAGAATCACTGAAGTATAAAATGAATGGAGGTCAATAATTAGAAAATTTAAAGCAATGAACACTTGACGCAGGGTATGTCTGAAGTTAGGGCTGATGTGTTCATCATAGCCGCGTCAGCCAAAAAAATTTGTCCGCAATTGGTTACTGTCTGAGCTGGAGTATTTGCATAAAGCGGTCTAATTGGCTGACACTTACGTTGGTGCTTGAAAATGTGGTCCCAACTTCTACAGCAAGCAACGCCACTAAAGTGGCACCCACGGTTCCACACTTCAGTTCGGCAACGATTGACTTCACCCATTAAAGTAAATGCAAGCGTTGACGCTGATGCCCCGTGTGAATGGGGAATTACAATATTGCAGAACACTCATAAGTACAGACATAAAAAAAATGTTCAAGAATCTTTTTCGATGCTCTAAAATATCTAAGATGACGCAAAAATAATAAATTCTTTGTTTTAACTTGTTACACACACTTTTATTATGATCTTTCCATGAAACCTTGTTGTCTATTATTACACCCAAATACCTATTTTGTCTACCTGTCCAATTTCATTAAAGATAATCTTGGATTAAATTTACCAATTTAATTGTAAAAATCAGCAATCGGAATGTGCCATGAAAAACCAGCAATTAGCACCAATGCCAACGCTGATGAGGCAAAAGAGACATGCATGGGTATTTCAGCTCACTTAAAACACTCAAACACTTAAAAATGACATGTAGGCCAATCCAGGCTTTACAAAGAACCCATCTTTATCTGCTCCAGCAGCCATCATTGAGATGCAAGTGTGCCATGTTTCTCCCATGAGAGAGAATATCACAGGAATAAAGCAAACACTGGCTGTTTTCACCAAGCACAGAGCCGGTCCTCGATGTCACACCATAAGAACTCGTAGCTCACCATGTGTGTGAGAAAAGACTGACCCCGAATGACAGGCGAGAGACAGCCAACGGGCTTTGATCAGACAGACGCAGACACAAAGCTTTAAGCTTCCCTGCTCTATTTAATCAAATTTGTGGGAACGGTCATGGCAGGCACAGCAAAAGGGGATCTGTCAGCAAACTCAAGCTAAGTAAATGAATTATGAGCACTATAAATATAACAGGCCCAGGGAGGCATGGGAAAAGAAGTTATTAGAAAGCTCCTGCTTGGTTCAGAGCAGGAACAGGAGGTGTGAAAGAAGAAAGAAAAAAAAAGAAAGAAAAGTCACAAAATAATATATAATATGAAATTTGGCCACAAATTAAATCTTGTAACTTTAATATGAACAAAGCATTTTTATTAAATAAAACATAAATACATTTTAAATAGAATTAAATAGAAAGAAATGTTAATTTGAGTAATAGACAAGACAGAAAAACAATAAAATGAAAGATTATGAATAATCTTTATTAGATAATGAAATGATATAATAGGATTATATATACAGGGAGGGAGTTTGTGTCTGTGCTATAAGGTGAACAGATATATATTATGATGTATATAAATGAAAATTTTGTTTACAAATATGTCTTATATCAATGAAGAAACGTCAAATGTCAAAAGAAATGTAAAAAAAAATCAGTTTCCTCCAGGTATTCCAGTTTACTTCACAGTCCAATGACATGTACTATAGGGGAATTGGATAAGCTAAATTGTCCAAAGTGTATGTGAGAGTGTATAGGTGTCTCTCAGTGATGGATTGCAGCTGGAAGGGTATACGTTGCATAAAACATATGCTGGATAAGTCAGTGGTTAATTCTGCTGTGGCGACCCCTGATTAGTAAAGGGACTAAGACAAAAAGAAAATAAATGAATACATTTTATATTATATTATAGTGGTGGCTCAGTGGTTAGCACAGCAAGAAGGTTGCTGGTTCGAGCCTTGGCTGGCCAGTTCCCATACATGTTCCCTCATGTATGCCTGGGTTTCCTTCGGGTGTTTGAGTTTTCAGAGTCCAAAGACATGCGCTATAGGTGAATTGAATAAGCTAAATTGGCTGTATTGTGTGTGTGTGTGTGTGTGTGTGTGTGTGTGTGTGTGTGTGTGTGTGTGTGTGTGTGTGTGTGTGTGTGTGTGTGTGTACATGTTTTTGTGACATATCAGGACACAAATCTGTATAATGACATGGGTATGACACAGGTATTACAAAAAGGGGGTGAAATATGAGGACATTGGTGATGTCCTCATTTCTCAAAATGCTTTTAAATCACACAGAATGAGTTTAATTAGAGAGTAAAGCTGCACACAGTCTAATGTGATGGTTGGGTTTAGGAGTGGGGTGGGGTGAGGGCAATACAATATATGGTTTGGACTGTATGAAATGAGTGGACACCTATGTAATGTCCCCACTTTTCACAAAAACAAACATGTGTGTGTGTGTGTGTGTGTGTGTGTGTGTGTGTGTGTGTGTGCGCGTGTGCGTGCGTGCGTGCGTGTGTGTGTGTGTGAATGAGTGTGTATTAGCTTTTCTCAGTACTGGGTTGCAACTGGAAGGGCATCCGCTTCTTAAAACATATGCTGAAATACTTGTTTATTCCACTGTGGCGACCTTTAATATAGAGACTAAGCGGAAGGAAAATGAATGAATGAGTATTATAGTCGATGACATATGACCTGGGCGTATTTTTTATGAGAAACATAAGTTCATGCCGTTCATCCTGGTAAAACCAGAGCCAATCAGAGAGGAAAAATCTCATCTGGTCATTCTGGTCATTCCTTTATAGGCTTTCACACAAAAAAAAAAAATAAATAAATAAACTACATTTTTTGTTTGTGTGTGCATGAGAGAAAGAAAGAGCCTGACAGCTACAATCTTTTTTATATCTTGCCTCAAAGGACTGTTAAAGAAGCGGAGGACAAAAAGTAAACAAAGAGCAAAGAAGAAAAAGGACAGCCTTTGGTAAACAGCTGAGAATCAAAAATCCTTTAAGAGCATCTTTATATATATTTATCACTGAAAGCAATTACATGAGGCCCTGACAGCATTCACAGCTCTCTAATGGCTAATTGTCAAAATAATGGGCAAAAATGCAGCAGAAGA